CAGAAATTGTGATACGTTCTACTTAGAGTTTCCTCGAACCAATATATATAAAAATTCACCCTTGTATAAGATGTGTAGTACATATAACTTGGTAGCTAGGGATATAGATCTGTTCAGCTGTGGAATAACTCATATCAAAACTTTTTATCTTTTTTCTCCTTCATCAGTGAATAACTAGATACTTAGTCAGGATATTCTCATTTTGTCATATTGTTTCGTCTATCCATTATGCTTATGTAATATGCAATGCATGTTTTTGTTTTGTCCTTTTTTCCTGTTCTGTAAATGGGGCAACCTGTTGAACAGTGTAAGAAATAAATAAATAAATAAAAATAAATAAATAAATCTCCAGGAGTTCTAACATTCAAGTCAGGTATGGGCTCCTCGTGGATTTCAGATATAATACTTTTTATATTCACACCATCTGTACCTACAGTTTCGAATGCAGTAGTAGCAGAAGTCTCGTCATCAGTTAAGTTGAAATTTGACATTTTTCCTATATATGCCTACCTTTATTTCTCTTCTTCAAACTTTTTTCAATACAAATTCTCACTGACAAGCTAGTGAATTTTTCTTTCAGGCTCTCTGGTAGGAAAATTCTTTGAATGAATATTTTGGGGCAAATCATCTGATTTGTCCTTACTACACTTATATTGAAATAATATTCATATTTTCATTTCTGGAATGACAGTTTTTCTTCCATAATAATTGCAAAGTCAACATCCATTCCTGTTTCAATCATCATACTGCTACTACTTGATGGAAATTCATCATGATATCCAACTGTATTATCCGAAACAGTAGTAGTATTCGTAAATTACGTGGTAATCTTGGAAATTTCACACTTCTCAGCTCCTAACTTTTGTTTCCTCCTTCTTTTTGAAGCACCACTAGTTTTAATCAAGTTCTCCATTCAAAATAATTGGCTTGTATCGTTGATTTCACACATCACCCTGGACCTACACTGAAAAAAACATGCCTGCAGCACTATTCGGAGAAATGGAAACATTATTTCTGTGGCATATTCATAATTGAAAAATATTCATGTATCAACCAATTTTGCTGGGTCCTTTCTCTGGTTGATGGACCCAGGGTCCCAGGGCCCCATCTGAGGAACGGGCCCCCCGCAACCGCGGGGTTTCGCGGTATAGTAGTTACGCCACTGGACAGGACAATCGGTATAATTGATATAATCGCCGCCATTCGCCGCTCTCGAGGCTTTCGCGTGCCAATCGGTATGTACGCTTGATATCCGATCTTTCTGAATCGATGGGGGGAGGGGGGACTGAAGGGAGGTATTAGCCGCGAAGAGTGAGTGAGTATTCTTGTCTGAATGTTGATATTCGATGCTTTGATTAACACTGTCTAGGTGTCTCCACTTGCAGCACGTTCCCACTGATTACCTGTAAACACATAAAAGCTGGTCTCAGCCTGTTAGATATTTGTCTGTACCACATTGGAGTACGCTTGCGTCTCGATGTAGGGGGGACCCTCTGGGACTTGTGGCCCTAGGTCACAGTCCCAGAGCACTAACCTGACCTATTATGGTTAAGTAGGGTTGTTTTGGCATTGTGCTATTTCTCCCTCCAAAAGAAAAGAGCTAATGAAAACATAAGTGATTAGTACACTGTGTTAGTACCTACTTACGGGCAAATTGGACTAAGTACAATCGTGTACAATTAAGTTTACTTTTGATGACGTTATATATATTAACCCAGTTAGCACAACATTCATAGAACGTCCATAGGATATTCTTCGAGAATATTTGAATTGATGGTGTCAAACATTGATGGATTAATTATTCAATACTGAAAAGTGAATGAAAATCAATACACTAAATTATTCAATGCAGCGCTTCAAATTGCTAATTAATTCTCACACGAATTACTTTATCAACTTAGCTTTGACAATGCCAACAGAAATATTCATAACAAATGTTCAAATGATTAACATTATTCTCTGATCAAAGAAATCCTCTTCTCACAGTTACTTCTAAGACATTACTAAGAATTTCTGGGTTTATACTATTGAATGCTTCGATGACACTTAGTTCTCCTTAATTATCAAGGTTATTTGCGTAAACAAAGTTTTCGATATATCCCCAAACAAAAAAATTCAGCTGTGTCAAATCAGGCTAACGCGCCGGCCAAGGAACTGTAGAATGAATACCGATCCATTTTTTCTGGATAACAACGCACGGACTTCTCTGGAATTATGTGCCGGAGCAGCATCTTGTTGAAACCAACAGTTCTGAACTTCCGCAATCAGAATAAATTATCCAGAGCTTCCTCAAGATGATTCTCAAGCAAATTTCTATAACGTTCGAAAGTCAATGTTTCATGGTAAATAAAAAGAACAATAATTCGTGTACCAAATATTGCAACACACATATTAAAGCCGAAACGGTGTTAGTGTCTCGCTGTTTTGTATACATGTTCATTTTGTCGTGACCAAGAATGTGTATTTTTTCTATTGAAGATATCATTATTGGTGACCATGCTTTCATCAGTTCACATGATTTTTCGAGAGAAATCTTCAAAATTTTGACATTTCTTGGTATATCACTCACAGAATGTCCTGCGTCTTTCGTCATCGCCTGATGGTCTTAGCGCTTGACATATTCTGAATTTTCGTTTCCGTAAAATAAAATGAGTTTTTGATTGGAACCAGTTGATATGGTATTAGTGCGTTGACTAATTTTTCTTCAAAATAAGTGAAACTGATGGCATGTTTCTTTTGTAATTTCTAAAAAAATTGATGATGGCCAAAAATAGGTCGAAACACATTCAAATCACCTTGTATAATACATGGTTGAATTCAGAATAAAAAAAGCTTTCATAATCTGTAGTAAAATTATCAGGACCGTATTCAAAAAACAGAAGTTGATGATGGTTCTACGAATACGAAACGTCGCATAAAAATAGTAATTTATTATACAAGGGAAAAAAGTAGTAGATTTTAGCTCCAGGTTGTGTTGTCTCCCGACGCGTAGCGGAGGGAGACAAAAAACCGTGAGCTAAAATCTAATATTTTTCCCGTATATAATACACTATTTTTTTCTGTGACAGGAGGAAGGACGAATCAATATTGAGAAGATATTACATTATTTCGAAATCTGAAAATTATCGACGTGAAATTTCAAGTTTTTAACAGTAGGGACACCTGCGTTTTATAGGCATCTTTATCATTCTTTTGAAGTAATCAAATATCTGATGTGACTTCTGTCAGTTCAATTCTGTGATTTTATTTTGAAAAATTGTGAATTCAGTAGTTGTTTAGTAATATACGAGACCACGAAGTCGAATGGAAGATAAAAGGACTTGCAGTTCTTTCTCGGAGACGGTATTATTGACTCATTTTTCGGAACTATAGCACAACAAAAGCTATTAACAGAGTATATATATGTGATATATATCCGGGAAAAAAATACTCACTTTTTTCCCACGGGAAAAAGTAATTTATGAAAAGTGACATTTTTTAACCTGCCAACAGAGATGAAATGCCAAACTTTTTTCCCGTCACAGAAAAAAAATCAGTATCACCACGTTATAAACGTCGTCAAGAGTTGCTATGAAAAAGTATTTTCACGTTGCTATAAAAAAGTATTTTCAGTTTTTCTGTATCTCTAATAATAACGGAAAAAAATTAAAAAGATATTCCAAAAATTCACTTTTTTCGATATAACTGAAAAACTAAAAATAATTTTGAGAATTTTCGAAGGCTGTTGATATGAGCCTCCGAATGCGCAACTTTTTCCCTATTTAACCGACTTCGTATCACCTACCGTTTTCGAGATCCCCATGCTGTGCAACCTTATCTTGGACATACTTTATATCCCTGGCCTGGCATGTTCATGAATATTCCCAATATCCAAAAATGATATTCTATGAATATTCATGGAATATCTGGTGCTGTCTGGGACAGGATGTTGCTTGTGCAATTTTGGGAATCCCACGATACGTGCTGTCTCGCAGGAAGTGGACATCGTGGTGTTCCCCGAATCAACCCTCATCCCGAAAAAGCACGCGCTGGCCCTCAGTAGCGAGGTCCCGAAGCCCTTCGAAGAGGTCATCTGAACAAGTCTTCGGAAAGAGATGTTCTGCAGGTCTCCAAAGTAGTTACTTTCGAGCTCATGTCGTTCACTGACCCTTTGTATACATACCGATTCGACCTTCAATTCTTACCTCCTATCCATCGTGGCAGAAAAATCAATGATCTCACGTCCATCTCTGAACGTACAATGGACGTTCATTTCACGTCCATGAACCTTCAGACTGAAAATGATTTCAGATAGTTTTTTGAGTTTGAACATTTCTTTATATAATCATTCATTCTTCATCCAAGAATACTTGAACTTAGAAAGACCGTTAAATGGATATCCAATGGAAATCCAATTTGTATCATCCAATGTACGTCTGTCTTTTTACGTTCAATGGATGTTGATCAAATGTCCATGAGAGTTGAGTCCTTGAGGTGACATAAAATGAATTCTCAACGGACCTTAATTTTGGAAAATACATTGTACGTCCATCTTTAAGATTACATGGATGGTGGGACATTAGATGGACATCCACTGTACAGGGTGAGCAAAACTCGATGTCTCAGCTCTATTATAAGAGAAGGAGAGATGATAGGGGTAATCCGAAAAAAGGTTTCTCAATAGGATTGTGTAAAGTCCGTTCTGAGCCTAATTCGCATATTTTTCTGAATTCGTAAGCTGAAGTAATGACGTCATCGATCATTTTTTCCCAGAAACATACCTATATTTTTGCATATTCGGAAAGAGCTGATTATACTGAACAAATTTCGTGAAGAGAAAAAATTTTCTATCTCCTTCCCTCAAAAAATTATAAGCAAATTTGTTCAAAAACAGTATCATCAAAAAATTGCATTCGTCACGATTCAAACAAGTAGCCTTTGAAAACAAATGGCAAAGTAACAACTGTCAACAATTAAACTAATGGTTGTCAAATATTATTGTGGTGTCATCTGGCTGAAAAATGTTTACGCACAATGAAAAAGTCGACATGTTATTTGTTTATGGGGAGAGTCGAAAGAATTCTAGACGTGCAGTGCAGTTATACGCCCAGAGATACCCCGAACGTATTATTCCAGACTCAAAAATATTCGCAAGATTGGAACGTAATTTACGTGCAAACATTCAAACAACGAGGCATTGTCATCTCGAAAGGGGAAGAAAATTGTCAAAAAGGTCAAGACTGACAATACTGTTGCCACTGTTTTGGAGTATTTTGAACACCATCCAAGGAACTCGATTCGTCAAGCCTGTCGTGAGTTGAATTTGAAATATAGTTCGGTACGAAATATTTTGACAGAAAATGGATATCACGATTATAAACTTCATAACTTAAAACACTTGTCAAATCAACATCAACAACGGAGAGTTAATTATATTGCCCAAGTGGTGGAAAACTTAGAGTTCAATGACAATCGGTTTCTCCAGCATGTGTTGTGGACGGACGGAAGCCGTTTTGTTAGCAACGGTAGGCCCAATCGAAGAAATGAACATTATTGGGCTACTGAAAATCCACATTTTGTCAATCCTATTGAAAACCAGGGACATTTTAGAATTAACGTTTGGTGTGGTATTATCAACGGGCATTTGATTGGTCCATATTTTTACGAAGGAGTTTTGAATAGTGAGCAATATTTGCAATTTCTTCAAGAACATCTTCTTGTGCTCCTCGAAAATGTGCCATTACAGCTTTTAGCAAACATGTGTTTCCAGCATGACGGAGCTCCGCCGCATAAAGCAAGAATTGTCCAACAATATTTGAATGAAACGTTGGAGAACATTGGATAGGTATAAATGGTCCGATACAGTGGGCGCCAAAATCACCGGACTTGACAGCACTAGATTTTTTCTTGTGGGGAACTTTGAAGAATGAAGTTTACAGAACACCTTCTGTTAACTTGGATCATCTGAGAGAAAAAGTTAGGAATGCTTGCGATGAACTCTCTAGAGAAATGTTACGCAAGGCTTCAGTAAGAGAAGTGAGGCGGAGATTGGAGAAGTGTCTAGAAGTAGGAGGTATGGTTACATTGAGAATTTGTTGTAGTGATTACCAGCATACTTTGTTTCTTCCTTTGGTAATATATTACCTATGTGTTTCCCATTTCGTCCACACTTTTTAGTTTTCAAAATGTTGGTGTCGGAAAGGTAGGTATGCACGGAAGTTTTCGAATTAATTTCTCGAGAATGGTAACAGGTATTGAATCAAACCAAGTGCAATTTTTTCTCTCGAAGAATAGCATTTGCTTGTCTGGTTCTGTTTTAGCCCATTCTCACCAAAATGTGACGCTTGAAAATGTGTCAAATGACACCAAAATGTGACAACCATAAGTTTAAAATTGTTGACAGATGCTACTTTGCCATTTGTTTTCGAAGGCTACTTGTTTGAATCGTGACGAATGCAATTTTTTGATGATACTTCTTTTGAACGAATTTGCTTATAATTTTTTAAGAGAAGGAGATAGCAAATTTTTTTTAATCACAAAAATTGTTCAGTGAAGTCAGCTCTTTCCGAATATGCAAAAATATAGGTATGTTTCTGGGAAAAAAATGATTGATGACGTCATTACTTCAGCTTACGAATTCAGAAAAAATATGCGAATTGGGCCCAAAACGGACTTTACACAATCCAATTGAGGAAACTTTTTTCAGATTTCCCCTATCATCTCTCCTCCTCTTATAATAGATCTGAGACATCGAGTTTTATTGCTCACCCTGTACATACAATTTGAAGCATCCAATGATCATCCATGTTTGTACGTACATTGGATGTCCATTCAATGTCCATGGACGTTTGGAATTGAAATGGACCTGAAATTTGCTGTGTGGAGGTATGTTGTGAGAACATTAATAGAATATTCTGTGCTGTCTGGGGCATCGTACACAGGATATGTTGCTTGTGCAATTTTGGGAATCCAACGATACGTGCTCTTTCGCAGGAAGTGGACATCGTGGTGTTCCCCGAATCCACCCTCATCCCGAAAAAGCATGCGCTGGCTCTCAGCAGCGAGGTCCCGAGGCCCTTCGAAGAGGTCATCTGCAACTCCACGAAAGACAAGTACCAGCCCTACTTGAAGCGGTTCTCGTGCGCAGCCATCGAATTCAATGCCACCATTATCATCAATATGGTGGAGAAGGACGTGTGTCTGGTGGGCAGTTGCGGGGGTTCGGGGTTGGCTTACTACAACTCGGTGGTGGCATTCAACGAGAAGGGTTACGTGTCAGGAAGGTAACTTGTGATTCAGATCAGTCAAATGTAATCAATCAATCAATCAAACTTTATTATTATTCAAGAAAGAAAACTCGAAGTCGTCTCCACAAGTTTAATGTTGAAAAGATGCAGTCAATCCTGTTTCAATAAGGTTTGAGACATGTTTTGGCCATTCGAATGGCCATCTTCAGTCAAATTAGTACATTAAAGTGTATGTGGAAAATTTCAAAACATCGTGAAGGCTAGAAAACCTCATCTTGATACATAATCAATTAATTAATTTGAAAAATGGTGTTTAAATTGGGTAATTTTGAAAAGGAGGCAAAAAGCCAATCCCTCGATGTACTAATTTGACTGGAGATGGCCATTCGAATAGCCGAAACATATCTCAAACCTTGTATCTTACGTAATCGTTGGGTAAGGATCCTGAAATTTGCTGGAGCGCGAGATATACCAAGAAATGCACTCTATGACCAAGTGGAGTCATCTTCAGTGATAAACACTGCTCGCCAACATATATGGAACCACCCCAATTTTCCGGAAAATGATGATTTGAATAATCAATCAAACATACTCCATCGTACGAACATTTTCACTTTTCAGAGTCCTCCTGGATTCTTTATAAAACAATTTGAATGAGATCTGAGGAGCATGCACGGAATTTCTTTCTAACTAACTTGGCAACATTGCGCCATCGCTTCTTCCGAATCTCTACGCGTCCCACACATTCCGGTATATTGACGGTCTGTCGATGTACGGTTCTGAACGTTTGCTAGTCTGTCGATGTACGGTTCTGCCATTTTACGATTCTGCTATTTCACGGGTTTGGTTTTTACGATTTTTCTCATTACGCGGTTTTCATCCGTACGATTTTGGACTTTTACGGGTCGGTAGTTGCACGATTATGTCAATGTAAAAGTCTGTCGTTTTACAATTCTGCCCTTTTACGGGTCTCTGCAGTTTCACGGTTCTGACTTTTTACGGTTCTGCAAGTTTGACAGTTTGGTGTTTTACGAGTCTGTCGATGTACGGGTCTTGCGTTATACGGATCTAGTATTTCGATAGTCTTTGCTCTTATACCAGTCTGTCATTGTACGGATCCTTCTTTTTACGGGTGTCAAATGTTAACGGTTCTGTGTCGATACGTTCTGATGATGTATAAGGATCCGCTATCAACCCTTTCAAGTTAATCCGTTAAACCGTATTTTAATGTGGATATTGTGTCTATTTTCCGAAAATCAAGGTTTATCGAAACTTTCCACTGTACACGTCGAGCTTTCTCAGTGTTTGAAATATTTGCACTTATTTCAATGCCACCCTGTATATGAGTTTAGGCAAGCCAAGGTTAGTTTATTCCATTGCACCACTATTTCACCTGATGAAACTATAGTGTGTTAGCGAAACATGTCGTGTGAATAAGAATTTTTGTGGAAATCTTATCGTTTGTGAAGTTTCCACATTTGCTATGGATTATTTTCAAGTAACGGCCGAGTCAATTCAAAACATGCATTAATTGTTTAAAATAAACTCTGAAACAACATGATCCACCCCTTTATGTGTATATTTCAGATATAGAAAATTCAACCGATTTGGAGAACACCACCTCCAATCGACCCCGGAAGTAGACGTAGTGGCCATCACGACAAATGATAACGACACTTTCGGCATCTTCACTTGTTTCGACATTCTATTCGGCACACCTACATTGGAGTTGATCAAAGAACATGGAGTCAAGAACATAGTCTTTCCGCATTGCTGGTTCGGAGAACTGCCATATCTGACAGGTGAGATTAAAAATTGATCAAGTGATAACACTGTAGGTACTGTAGTACTAGTAAATCAGGTCTCATAGAGAAGTGATGATCCTATAATTGGTATTCTACGCCTATTGAAGAATGCTCTTTCATTGTTCACTTATAGCAAAATAATTCCACTTTATATAGAGATGTTTTCATAAGATCGTTCTATAACCGTTCTCACAACTGACATCATGTCACAAAATTGTATAGTTAATCACAGTATTATAACACTTATCGAAAACCTCTGGCCCGATATAATCATACCGGGCTACACTGTTTTACCACATACTAAACTGATTTTTTAACGGCTTGACACTCTAATTATCTTAACATCTTCAGGAGAAGATTTAAGGTTTGCCACCCGGTTTTTACTACATAATGGTAATGAAATTGTTATTTCAGCCTTTCAAGTTCAGCAAATGTTCACTCAAGAATATAACGTGAATTTCCTCTCTGCCGGATGCAACAATCCCAGACGTGGTTCCGGAGGATCCGGTATATTTGTTGGTGAGTTTTTTCAATGGGTTTCCCCAGTCATCCCTAGAAAAAAGTATATATCTCGACACGACAATTTCTCGATTTTTCTGATTCAGCATACGATACTGATGCATGTAACAGCAACTGAACTGATACCTACCTAAAATTTCGTGGTACCTACTGAACATTTATTGCATTTCATAATTAGTTTAATGAGTGATATCTGTTCGTGGATTCGTTAAAATCACGTTAAAATTATAATTGAAATTTCATTTTGTATTGAAAAACAATTCAGAAATTCATGACATTCAGTTCTGAATTCCTTCTTGCAAAGTAGTTTGAAGTTTTGAAGTAGGTACCTACTCAACTAGGTATGTACCTATACTTATACCCATCTGCTATAGGGAAAGGAACACATTTTGAACCAATCAATGCTAAATTTGCTCACTTGGTTCTATTTTCTATACAAAGTAACACTGCCTTCTCGTCAATAATATATAGAGAAATGAGAACAGTGAAGTTATGCGCAGAATGAGGTATTTCAACTTGGCAACATTGTGTTAGCACCAGTTGTTTCCAATGAACTCAATATAAACACCATATTGGGTTCATTGGTTGTTTCATCTTTCTGTTCCCTAATAACACACTTATGTCCCATGGATATCCTTAGGACGTCCTGTCAGGACATTCAGGACGTCCATAGGACGTTCGAATTTGTTACCGTGGACGTCCATTGGACGTCTGTGGGACGCACAAATGTCCCACTTGAGGATCAACTAGGAACGTCCTTGAGGGAAGTCCCTGGGACAACTGTCGAATACCTAAATCCTACAGTTTCCTCATCAAGCAATACAGAGGACATATCCTTTTAGGACATCCATAGGACAACCTATCAGCAACGCTGAGGGATATCAATTGGATGTCCATAGGATGTCCCTCTAGGACCAGATATTGCATAACTGATTAGGACATCCAGTTGAGTTGATGGTCCGTAGAAGGTCCCCAAAAAGTTTCCAATGGACTTACGTGAAGGACATTGATGAGGAGTACTTATAGCCTACGAGCAATCATTCGTCGGCGAGGTGTAAGTAAACGTCCTCGCAGGGACAACATATTGAAAGTACCGACTGGGACGTCCATAGGACGTTATTTCTAGGACATTGGAAGAGTACAGTTCATGTACCAATTGGGACATCCGACGGATATCCCTAAGGGACATTCGAAGGATATCCCTAAGGGACATTTCGATTGTTATACGATCCTGGAAATATTAATTGCGTCTGTGCAGTGATATTATTTGAAGGAATGTACGTCCTTGCATGGACATTCTACAATATGTATGTAAAGGATGCTTTTCTAGGACATTTGAAATGATGTACCAGCTGGGACATTCCGTGAACGTCTTCACGTACGGGATGGGACGTCCCAAGGATACTTATTTTTGGATCGGGACATGAATTGTACCAAATAGGGACGTCCCTAGGACGTTGTGTGCTATTAGGGTTGTAGACATGATTGTAACATTAGCAATTATATTTTCCGGGAATGAATACTCGAGATAAAATAATATACGACTGATCAATTTGATGATTATAAAAATTAGTCAACATTATGACTCAATTAAACCATCTGGATAGTGTCTTATTGTTAGATGCCTGTATCACATCTTATCCTAGCCCTAGCTAATCTTGAAACTTATATTTCACAGTTCATAGTAAATTGAAAGTGATCAGAAGTGAATCACCAATTAACCAATTGCCTAATACATGGAAGTTTCAAATCATGTCATTCCTTGCACCATCTTGCACATGCTATTAATCCAAGGGTTTTATAGAGACCTCTAGCAACAGTGGCGTGCTTCCCAGCCGTCACAAATTCCAACCAATCAAATTGTAAGGAGACACTGATGTCACAACTCAGTAGCGTTTGAATTCACAGGTATTGAAATAGTATTTTCAATAGTGAATAATTCATTTGTTGTTTGACATTGCCGATGAATATATGTGGTCGGGATAATGTTTTTGACTTCCCTTCATAACATTATAGCGAAAAACGGTAGAATATTTCACGATACTTGCTATGTAATACAGGGTGATAATGAAAAACATAATATATGAATAAGACCTAGAGAATGCTTTAGGTATACTATCGGATAGCAACAAAAAAAAAACGGATGATAACGACGATGATAGTGAAATTTGGTGTAAGCCAAAATCCTCCATTGTTGCAATTTTGACGTCATCTACTAATCAGATTTTCATGCGGAAGGCACAGTCACGCTGATTCAATCAATTGTCTTCTAGTGAATTTCCATTACAGTAGCTTAACTCTGTCGGCTTCTATGTAAAATAACGGAGTTCGTGTCCTGTTTAATTGAAGGAAAAAAATTATTTCAGGTAGATTCGAAATGATCGATTATAACAACATAGGTAGCAATTTTCAAGTTTCAACTGCAAATTAAAAAAAGTGAAAAAGGCAACGTCAGAATCGCGATCGCATTTTAGTTCTGTGTGAACAAGGTAGTTCTTCAGTGAATGGTGAAACATCCAGAAATAATTCAACTGAATAAAAATAAGATTGATTGATTGACTGATTAATTGATTGATCTACATTGCCACTGATGATTTTTCAGGAGATCAAGGTCCATTAGCAACTCATATCGTAAGTGGCGAAGGCGGTACAAGGGGCATTCTGAGAAGAGTACCGAGACCAAATATTTCGAATAATCCTTTCAGGGAATTTGCCGCAGTCGTCGAGGACATTGAAGCTGTTGCCAAGGAAATGGATGATTTTCATCTGATCACAGATTTATCCATGAGCAGTAAGTATATACAGGGTGTCCCTAAAAGGTCTTCACCGAAACTTACCACATACCTATTCCTCTGACCAAGACAATTTTATAAAAGCAAACTTACCTCAGTACAAAGTTGTTTAGTTTGGCGCTAGACTGAATTTACAATTTTCAAATCGTTTCTGCTTCATAACTCCGAAACGGGTCATGAGATATCATTACATGGGCGTCGAACTTGATTTTTTCAGTAAATAAACATCTAAAACTTCTACGCCAATGTAAAGGAACAGGTTTGAATATGAAATTTGGATTGCGTGACTTATTCACTACGAAAATGTACTCCTGAAATAATTTGATTACTCTCATGGTATCGACAATGCTCAACATGGGTATCTTTTTAACGGTGAGAGATACGAGGTCGGTTAAATGACACCAAATGTGGAGTTTGTCAAGGCCAACTATAATGTGAAAAAATATTTTGATAAAATCTATTCGTTTTTGTTTTATACGCAAAAAACAGATTTTGATCATTTTCATGTCTCCTCCGTAACTTCTTTATTTATGAAAATATTCAAATAGGAATTTCACATTCTCATGGCAGTTTTTCAAAGTGATTTCGGAAAAAATATGAAATTATACCAACTCTTCTAGAATTTGAGATATCAGCACCAACTTTAGTTTTTCAAATGTAGGTCATAGCTCACTATGACTTAGTTACAAATAACTTTTTTTTCTCTTACAGATGATATGTCGCAGTAATAGTTTTGTGTTGATAACAACGGAGTTATCGTCATTTATACAAAAACAAAAAATTATTTGGAAGCCGCCATTTTGAATTTATAAATTTTAACAGAAAAATCATGATCTCCGTCCTCAAAAACCCCCATTTACCAATTCTGAATGGAATCGGACCAAATCTTGTCCGCCATCTTGGAGCAGCCATTTTTTTTAATTTCAACAAAAATTCCATAGGAAACTCCGATTAAGTTGAAATTTGGCAGGTGTCCATAATTTCGGTGACAATACATTATGGAATTTTTGTTGAAATTAAAAAAAAATGGCTGCTCCAAGATGGCGGACAAGATTTGGTCCGATTCCATTCAAAATTGGAAAGTGGGGGTTTTTGAGGTCGGAGATCATGATTTTTCTGTTAAAACTTATAAATTCAAGATGGCGGCTTCCAAATAATTTTTTGTTTTTGTTTAAATGACGATAACTCCGTTGTTATCAACACAATACTATTACTGCGACATATCATCTGTAAGAGAAAAAAAAGTTAATTGTAACTAAGTCATAGTGAGTTATGACCTACATTTGAAGAACTAAAGTTGGTGCTGATATCTCAAATTCTAGAAGAGTTGGTATAAGTTTCAAATTTTTTCCGAATTCACTTTGAAAAACTGCCATGAGAATGTGGAATTCCTATTCAAATATTTTCATGAATAAAGAAGTTACATTTGGTGTCATTTAACCGACCTCGTATCTCTCACCGTTAAAAAGATACCCATGGTGAGCATGGTAAGTGGGACACACTGTATAATAATTCAAAATATCAGTCAGCACTAAAACTTCGTTAAAATTTTCATCATTTACACGTATACATAGATTCATACGACGAAAAAATTTAAATGTGCCGTCAGCTATTATGTTGTTTTTTTTTGTACTGGGTAAAAGCCCAAACCATAGATTGACGACTCGTTAATCTATGCCCAAACTGAGCAACTATGTACTGAGGTGAACTTGCTTGTATCCATACATTTCGTTGAATACGTGAAAATGATGAACATTTTGACAAATTCCATGACATACCTACCTGTTGATCGTTTCAATGTTTAACGATGCTTTAAATCACTAAAATTGAAATTATGTCGAAACCGCCATGAAAGTAATCGAACTTCATCGAGAGTACCTTTTTTGTAGTAAACAATTCATGCAATCCAGATTTTAATATTCGAACCCCTTTCTTTCCATTGGCGTAGAAGTTTTAGATGTTAATTTACTGAAAAAAATAAGTTCTACGCCAATGCCAATTACGTGGGTTTTATTTTCCGATGTAGCTATGCCAACGTATCAAATTTTAGTAAGATCTCTTGAGCCGGTTCAGAGTTATGAAGCAGGAACGACCCAGCCAACCATGAGATGTAAGTGATGTATACGCCACATCACTTTGTGACATGCGATATCGCATTTGAAGTCACAAACATGTTTCCGATACAACGTGGCGATGTGAAAATGTCCGACTCAAGCAACATCACTGTGACGTCGTTCAGACATGAAATGCGACATCACATGAAAAATCACTACCAGGTCACATACAAGTGTACATTTTATATTACAAATACATCATCACACTGCGACATCGATGATGTGGTCGCCGTACCTGTGATATTCGTGGGATATATAATAATGATTATTATTCAACTTTACGAAGAAAATGTTTATTTTCCGAAAGTAAAAACAGATGATACAAACTTATCATGACAATCACCCTAATTAATCTTGAAGTAAAACATGACACATATATAAAGCAATACAAATATACATTATTCATAAATGATACATATAAAATACACTTACATTATCTTGGGATCTTTCATCCACCTTGTTTTAGATTGCAATATTCCTATCTCAGAGATAATTACAATATTACCTATTGTGATTGAACTCACCGTCGTTCCTAAATGATTGTATACCTCCAATTTGAAGCTGCTATAATATGTGCTATAAATCATCTCAGATATTTCAACAGAGAGTTTGGAAGGAAATAGTCTGTACGGAGTCGGACTCACTCACTGACTGACTGACATACTGACTGACATGGCCATGCTCAGCTCAACATGGCGTCTGGCGTGTGCGTTCGTTTTGCGCATGTCTGCGTCACACTCACAGGTCACAAAGATATCTCATGAGGATATCAATGTGAATTATTTAGTTAACGTCGAAGAGATGTAGTTTGAAGAAGTCGCTGCCACATTACATAGTTTCCTGGTTGCGATGTCACCTTGCGACGTTGATATCGAATCTACGTCGATAAGATGTGTTATCGAGATATTGCATTTATGCAAGGTTGTTACATCACACAGATGTTCATGTCACACGACGGTTGGCTGGGGATTTGAAACGTGTAACTTCAGCGCCCAAACTAAGCAACTGTGCACGAAGGTGAGTTTGTATAGAATTTTTTTGGTCTGAGGAATATGTGGTAAGTTTCTATGAAGACCTTTCAGGGACACAGTATATTATGAAAACTCAATAATCGTATATTATTCAATGATCGCATAATTATGGTTATTCATATAGCTATTATATTACCCCCTAAGGGGAAAGTTGCAGTACGAGCCGAAGGCGAGTGCTGTAATCATCTGAATGGTTGATAAACATTATGCGCAAGTAGTATTCTATACTTAATATACAATTATTCGAATATCAAAGCAACTTTGAGAGTTCAGAAATAATAAAGGTCATGTTTCAAAGTTACTCAATCTAATTTGACAGTTTTTTGTCATAGTTTAATAATTTACATTGTGAGAATTCTTATTAACAATAAAAAAGTCGTGCGAGCGCATCAGAGTCCATCTTATCAGGTGTTATATGCCATTTCAGTAAGTGAAATGAATCATTTTATTGCAGATTATTCATTTGAAAACATGAGGATCTAAGTTGAAACTAGTCATAACTAATAATTGCAGAATAATATAATGAATAATGGTCGATACTATCCCATCAACAATGAAGTTCTATCGTTCTGATTGGTCTGTATACTCAATTATTCGAATCGACCGCACGTCAATGTGCGCAAAATGAATTCTCACGTTCTGCAAACTGCAACTGTCAAGTCTCAAGTCCTATTTTATGATTACTCAAACATGGTATAGTCACTGTTGATAATGAAAAACTGTGACATTCAATTTATCCGTGTATTGACCATTCCAGAACACGTGATTTTGACATGGTTCCTTGAGGGGCACACAAACTATCTGTTAGGTTACCTTTGATGAGCATAGCCCTGACCATCCCTGCCATATCCACAATATAATAACAGTTTCACCAAACAAAATTATGAAATTCTTTCTGGTTCAAACTCGGATTCCAAGGAAAACGATCCCACTAATTCTGGTTTCATATGACGAATCTTGACAAAATACAATGTTTGCCTCTCAGCAACCTGTCAAATGACGTAATTCTGGAATGATTTATTAGTAGGATGGTGATTAAAGTCTCTTGAAATTGCGTCTATTCCACAAACAGTAGTATATGGTGCTGCTGGTGCATTAGTAGAACTGAGATGGTTACATTGGTCAAACACTGACGATACTTATACAGTTCTTGTTCATATAAAAACTGCAAGAGGCGCTGATATCGTCATATTTTCAATGTTCATCGGACCAAATAACAATCGTCACAAAAATATACAGAGATGGCGTGAGTACGTTCATTCTTGATAGTATTTGATGAAATTCTGATAATTGAGTTATTATTTCCATTTCAAACAGAATTCGTTGAGCAACATCTATTAGAATAAGATGTAACAAGAACCTTGAATGGCGATTTTCAACTGTTTATTGTCGTCAAGTTTGGGCAAAACAAAAGCGCATCAGTGCAATCGCTGATGAAATAAACCTCAGGAGCGCTCACTCTTCATTCGTTTCGGTCACAATTGTTACATTGATGCCTGTAATTTTGGTACGGCACCAGACTATACTTAGCGAGATTCACCCATGCCATGTTATGTTTATCGAAGTAGGCGAAAATCACGGAATAGTAAAACAGGAGAGGATTGAAGTGCGTACTCCAGAGGTTTATTCCATCAATGCAAACACCATATATACTTCTGAACATATCAAATAGAACGAATACCTGCCTATTATTTGAATGTGAAAATTCGATGGAATGTCAAATTATTCCTCCATCTTACTGTTACTCTTCACTCGAAGCATCACGACAATAATGTTTATAAAATTAACTGTTGAAAATCGAGTAAGCAATGCATGAATGACTAAATAAAGTAGTTTTCTCAAATAATCATTGTCGTTTTTAATGGACAATAATGGAAACATGTTAGTATAAGCAAGGTAGAATATTTAAAAAGTATGCAAAAATTTTCCTCATCGACGATATTTTCAGTTAACTAGGGACCTTTATTTCTAACTGTGATATTCATTTATTGTTTTCCTAACCCTAGAAATTATTCGTTTTCCTATCAAGATCCACCTGCCCATCAGTTCATAATAAAATACCATGCTAAAATATTTCAAGTACTCACACAAATAAGGAAAGCAGAATAAAGAAACAATTGAGCTCTCGATGTTTTCAGCAAACTAGCGCCATTGACAGACAGAAACATTCTGGTTTGCATTTAAATCGATTTAAATCGACGATGATTGGGCTAACCACGTTCATCGTGGTTTGAAACTCAACCAGCTAAACCATTCACGTGATATTAAGACACAAGACACAAGGCAGCTTAACGATTTCAATAAGTTCAACATAGGCCCAACTTCCCACTTAGCTTGACCATTCTTTTCTATGCACAAGCACAATTAATTTCTTTCAGGACATACTACAGTTGTTTTGGACACTACCAAAGAGACCGTCGTAGAAGAAGTTTGCGACGGTTCCGAAATCAAAACGTGTTGTCTCTTCAACTTAACAATCACATCGAAAACTGCTAATGATACCTTGAAGAGCCAACACTATGTCTATCATTTGGGGGTGTTCAATGGCATCCGATCCTTTTCTGGATTGAGGGAACTTGGAATAGAATCTTGCGCGGTGATGGCATGTTTGAACCGGTCTGTTTCGTCTTGTGGTATGAGGTGAGTACTTGTGCCAAGAATAAGCTCCATACCAAATTTGAGGAAATGATACTGGGTAGTTTAATACTTATGGACAATCGAATAATTATTCGAAATCGATATCGACCCTGTATCTCCGTTATAAAGACTGTAGGACCCATCAATAGTTACTTAGTAGTAGATTTTAGCTCCAGGTTGTGTTGTCTTCCGACGCATAGCGGAGCGAGACAAAAAACCGTGATCTAAAATATTTTCCAGTGCATAATGCACTATTCAATTTTCTATCTATATTTTCTTTTCTTCAAACATTTTTCACAGCAAAGTGCCACTGACAAACGATCGAATTTCTCTTTTAAGATCTCTGATAGAGACATTTTTAAACGCAGTGGCATTTAGTAGTGATTTGTCCAACTTTACGTAAATTGAAGCAATACTTATATTTTTATTCTTAAAAGAAACGAGGATCGAAATTCCCAAATAAACAAGTGGAGTGAACCTAATTTTCATGCCATCGAATCAAACCCTAACAGAATAATAATAATAATAAAAATATAATAATTATGATATAATAATACTTTATTTTCCTTTATGATAAATACATTTGTATAGGAATAGTCATCATATTAGTAAGTAGTAAGTATTGAAAAGAAAAACATTACAGATACACAAAAATATATACGCATAAAAAGTATGATACTGTCACAATCACAACTAATTGAATAAAATAAAACGTTGAAAAAATCATTGACTGAATACAGACATTTATCAATGAGGAACAATCTCAACTTCCTCCTAAAGTTTTGAAGAGTAAAACATTTCAACTCATTAGGTAGCCTATTGAAAAAAATCAAACCAATCAGGAGATCGGTATGCGATTAAATTTCTTGCGGAATATGAAAGTTATCTTTGTACCTTGTGTTTTTATCATGAATTTCTTATCTTTTGATAAATATTTCTTTATTTTTGAAGATATATAACTGCATAGTTCAAATATATAAAGTGAATAAGGTGATGTTAGGATGATCAATTTCTTGAAAAGATCCCTACAACTATACCGTCGCGAAACAGCAGAAATAGCACTTGTACAATTTTGGGCCATTTGATTGTCACTAATTTCGATATTCAGTTCCGGGCAAGACTTTTGATAATTCAGAAATCTAAGAAAGTGTGTCTTATCAGAATTTAAATACAGAGAATTAGCTGAGAACCACATATTCAACCGTCGCGAAACACCAGAAATAGTTCTTATCACACCATATCTCAGCCGTGATTCCACCTGTCCATAGTAAATATTGAGTGTTTGATCTGTTTCCAAGACTATCCTCAAGTTTCTGAGTAAATAATTCTGAGAATTGATTTTTTTTAACATGTGATATTATTGCAAATGCTTCTCCATGTAGGTTCTTCGAGAACTTGTCTATGGATTGACAGATATTCACTTATACTGTAATTAACATTGGTACACAGTTGATGATGAGGAAGGAAGAAGAAAAATTGGTATATATAATTAACTAACCTATGCGATCTCACATCTAATAAAATCAAGAATAAAATTTTTCGTAATGTGCACCTATATAATAACATTTTTTCCTATTCCATTATTATTCAAGATTGATCGATTATTTGATGGAAAAAAAGCCTTCACAGATTCAGCATCCACGTTTTGACCTTTTTTTGAGTAATCTTATATTATTTATTGTTTTTATATATACTGGTAAGCTATTTTGAATTTTCGGAGCAATGTAGAATGATGACTTCTGAGCAATTGATTTGTTTACTCTAGGAATAGTAACATTCAGTGCCACTCTTCCACGGGTGGGGTACATGTGCTGCACATTTTGTAAATAACTTAGCTGAGAATCACGTATTCAACTTTTGGAAAGTATCACTACATAGTTTCTTCTATATAGGTTCCCAAACTTCGACGACATATCCTGGCCCATCACCTTCAACACCATCAAAGTCACCGCCAAGTTCCCCAACGACCCCGACAGAGTGCAGTTCCCCAACTCCCTGCTCGCCTCGCTCAGACCCATCTCGCCGCGTCACACCACGTGGTCGAGAGCCGAGTTGGGGGAACACGTGGAGAGGACACACGCGTGTGCGCAGCCGCAGACCCGGCTGCTGACCTTCGGCATATACGGCCGGGATTTCGGCAGGGACGGCGCGCTGATCAGTCCGAACGGGTCGGCACGGCTTAGCGCTTGTAGCGTGACCTTGGGAGGGATGGTGCCGATTGTGCTGGTCGTTCGTTTGATGCGCTCGTAGATATGATGTTTGTTATTTGCGGATATGGAAGTCATCATCTGCTAGGGCGTCTACAGTGTGTCCCACTTACCATGCTCACCATGGGTATCTTTTCAACGGTGAGAGATACGAGGTCGGTTAAATGACACTAAATGTGGAGTTTGTCAAGGCCAACTATAATGTGAAAAAATATTTTGATAAAATCTATTCGTTTTTGTTTTATACGCGAAAAATAGATTTTGATCACTTTCATGTCTCCTTTGTAACTTCTTTATTTATGAAAATATTCAAATAGGAATTTCACATTCTCATGGCAGTTTTTCTAAGTGATTTCGAAAAAAATATGAAATCAATAACTCTTCTAGAATTTGAGATATCAGCACCAACTTTAGTTTTTCAAATGTAGGTCATAGCTCACTATGACCTAGTTACAAATAACTTTTTTTACTCTCACAGATGATATGTCGCAGTAATAGTTTTGTTGATAACAACGGAGTTATCGTCATTTATACACAAAAAAAATTATTTGGAAGCCGCCATCTTGAAAATTGAAAATTTAGCAAAAAAATCATGATCTCTGACCTCAAAAACCCCCACTTACCAATTTTGAATGGAATCGGACCAAATCTTGTCCGCCATCTTGGAGCAGCCATTTTTTATTAATTTCTACCAAAATTACATAATGTATTGTCACCGTTATTATGAACACCTGCCAAATTTCAAGTTAATCGGAATCATGGAATATTTGTTGAAATTAAAAAAAATGGCTGCTCCAAGATGGCGGACAAGATTTGGTCCGATTCCATTCAAAATTGGTAAGTGGGGGTTTTTGAGGTAGGAGATCATGACTTTTTTGTCAAAATTCATAAATTCAAGATGGCGGCTTCCAAATAATTTTTTGTTTTTGTATAAATGACGATAACTTCGTTGTTATCAACACAAAACTATTACAGCAACATATCATCTGTGAGAGAAAATGAAGTTATTTGTATTTGTTAAAAAGATACCCATGGTGAGCATGGTGAGTGGGACACACTGTATAGTTTTTTTCTGTTGGGGAAGGGTGGTAGAGCAAAAATTTTTTTTTTAAACGCTAAATTATAAACCACCTAAATAATAAAGTCCAGATGCCTTCGAGGTAAACTAGCGATCCTATTCAACGAAGAATCTAGGGATATTTTTATATCCCAATGACTGTGCATCAATGCCATCTCAACAAGTTTCTCATCGCTCATTGTTGATCGTAGCCAAGTTTTGAGCTTTTTGAGTGAAGAAAAACTTCTCTCTGCCGTTGCTTCACCTACTGGCAATATGCGAAGTCAGTTGGAAAAACACATCACCGCAAGCCGTCGGTCCCTTTGAAAGTTCAAAGAGTGCGGCAGCGCAGCCCGACATTCGTTTGAAGATCTGTTCAACTGACTTTGTATAAACTATATCAGCAATTATGTTCAATCGTTTCATATTTTATGCTCCCATTGTTACATATTTTTGTCCTGTCCCGTATACGACCTCGAGCTGAGAAAAAAAAAGCGGAGTAAGAACTGCTTTGTGATCACCCAGTGAATTCATAATTGTCAAGCTTCGCTGGTATAAGATTTTGGATTTTTCTTATTATAAGATTCTTTATATATATTTACATACTGTGTGCTAGTTTCAGACGAATGATGCATATGGTCAGGTCATGTAGATTGCAATGATATGTTTCTTTTTTCATTTTAGAAATAGTATTACGTGATATTTATAATAGATCGAGTGAAGTAGACCTACCATCATTATGATATTAAGGTTTTCTCCTTGGTAGAATAAAAATAGTCACAAAAGATCAGCACAACTTTGATTAATGGGCATTTCCAGTAATTTCCAGAAAAATCATATTTGGTTATAAATGACTCTCAAGAACCTTGTACAAATTTTTTGGGATTTTTATTTTGGCCGGATCTCAGATAAAAAAATTATTGAAAACGGCAAAATGATCTAATGAATTCAAACGAGTATCAAAGGGAGGGAACCGTTTGACGTCAGCGCACGAACGATTTCGATTGGTTACATGTTCATGTTGTATGATGTTGTCTCGCTTGCTGAATAATCAATAAAAAGTTTTCCGATGTTGCCATATTACATAAAATGTACGAACTCTTAGGGCAAAACGAGGAAGAAATAATTTAACATCTAGATGGTGCAGGATATTTCAGTACCTATCTCACATAGACAAAACTAGGTAGGTATTTACCTATCTAATGAGCTCGTAAGAGGTATTTTGGGTCAGGTATATAAACTGTACTTTCAATTGATTAGGGATGATTAGGAGATTGATCATCAAAAGATGATATAATATGTATTGATAGCAACAATTTAAGAACAATAATATAAGTCATATTTATTGATTCTCATTTATGCTAATCCGAGTGCTAATCTATGATATATGGTGCAGAAATAGCCAGAACATCATCAGTTACTATTTTTATTAAGTGTACAGTTAATATTGGAAATCGTTGGAAAAGGTTCGGCAACAGTGTTGGTGTGACTTTCGTGTTTGTGCTTCGACTGAAGAGTGACATCTGACGTCCTTGTAGCCATCTTACATCTGACCAAAGCATAACCTAACCTAACTTGAAGAGAAGTCTTTGAAATTATCGTCCGAATCGAAAAGACTATAAAAATATCCAAAATGAGTAAAGTAGACGAGGGATTCGAAAAGGCAGCAGCAGATAATCTGCCAACTTCTTTGGATGTCTAAATATCTTGGAACGTGACACATATTTTATTCAGATTTGTATTCTGACATGGGGACCAAACACTTTTTGGCACTCATGTTTCTCACAAAAGTAATAATATAACTCAAAACCAACAATCAGACAAACACAAACAAATTCAAAACTGAGGAAGTTGCGTAAGTGGTTATAGGTTATGTTGTGGTTATGTTGAAGATTAAGCATAGTTGCCACATAATTAATTATATTTTCCAAGGAGGAGGAACGTTAATGGTCAAAACACGTTTAAATTTGGTATATCGAGATATTTTGATAAGTATTAGTAATGACATGAAATATATCGAATTAACCGATAACTGAATCAGTTATTTATAGCAACTAAATAATACAAAACAATGATCCCAATGGATATTTGTGTACCTAAAATTATTATGCAAATACGCTATAATGCCCTCGGTAATATCTAATATTTTCAAGTTCTTGGTAAGTGAACAATAGTCAGCAATGTATTGATCAAGATTCAGTTATTTGAATTCCTATTTATATTATATCTAGATATTTCATAAAGACCTGGCAACTGAGTTGTTTCTCTCAGCTAATCCTGCCTCTCCGTCGCCATTACCATATTCAACCAATCAAATCACTACGCGCCCTGACGACACAAGCTGCCACCACATTTTAAACGTTTGAATATTCGTGTTTGAATCACGCGATTTATTTAAAAGGCAATGGTTTGGAATAAAAATATTAAAAAAAATCTGGACTATGATTTGGATGGTCCTTCATAACATTATGACAAAAAATCTGCAAATTTTTTGAAACTGGAAATGCCCATTGAATTCCGAACCGGGATGACAGATTGTTGTCTTCATGTACCTCTTTTTACCAACTGAACAAAAAAATATGAATATATACAATCGCACTTGGCGATTAAGAATTATGCTTTAGATTGTTGTGCTGCCATAATGTATATGGTGAGTTGAGAACTGGAGTTTGAATAAGAATGAATTCCCCCTCTGGACTGCCAAGTTATAACCTAGTAGTAGTAGTAGTAGTACTGTGGGGAGGCTGTAGCCAGGCAAGTAGGTCCCCATGGGCCCTTTTTGCCAACCCCTGCTCTCCACATATCTACACATCCCTCTTTTAGTTGTCCTTTTCGAACCTTCCCGTCCTTCTGATGAAGGTCAGGATGTCCGTCCACTCTAATTCGACCAAATCTTCCTGTTGTAGTTTATCTACTCCAAAGATTTCGAATCTCATCCTTCCATACGCCTCACACTCTCCGAGGAAGTGAAGTGATGTCTCCTCATCTTCTCCGCATTCGTGGCAAGTGGTACTATCTTCCACACCTATGTGCCCTGTCAGTATCCTTATGAGAAGGCGCAGGACTTGGCGATCCCTGCCTAGTAACCAAGACGTCTTTGGCTTGCTTGGACCGGCCACCAGGGCTCTCGATTGCCTGCAGCCGCCTATACGTCTTCAATATACTTCTAGTACCTCGTCCGCCCATTTGTTAAGGGCAGACGAAGTTTGGCTTCTTATTGTTATGCCCAGTGCAGGCTCCGGTCCCCAGAACGGTGTCGCGGATCCGATTCTAGCCAGCTCGTCGGCCACCTCGTTCCAGGGCACCCTCCTGTGCCCCGGGACCCATACTAGTTCGAGTTCCTTCTGTTCAGCTAGTTTCTCAAGAGCATCGCCACATTCCTGCACCAAAGCTGAGCTTGGTTAAGGATGGCAGACAGCTCTGAGAGCCGCCTGACTATCCGAGCAGATGTAAATCTTCTGCTCTGGTCCCTGCTCTTTCACCTCTTGCCTCTCCGCTACTGCCAGAATGGCAAAGACCTCAGCCTGGAAAACTGTGGTATACTTTCCAAGAGCGTAGCTCTCCCTTATATGCCTATTTCTTCTAGGTAAATTCCTGCACCTGAGTCCTGTTTGTGTTAGGCGCGATCCGTCAGTTATAACCTAACTTGTGAGCACATGCATTCAGTCTGTATGCTACTTTTCCAAACTGCTGGGTGGTGCCAACCCTTTGATGGATCAGACGCCTTCGACTCTTGGACACTTTCCATGGAAACTTATTCATTGATATTGATGCTATTTACAAAAGGTGCTCGCACAAATGCAAGCAGCTATCGATTGCATCAGTATCTGGCATGTCGCCATTGAATTTACCCCACTTATTTTTCCATGATTCTAATTCAGATTCGATATTGAACTTTTTATCATGGTCCTGGGGAGGAGGGGTGAATTACCCCCTTTACTATTCAAATATACGTTTTTGATCATCTGACGTTGTGATGAGGTTTACAGCAATGGAGAAAACAT